AAGAGGCATTATGTGATGAGAAAAAACAATCCCAAAGAACTTCAGAATTATTGACCCGTTCTTCAGATCACACACTAATAAAAACTGAAGACATTTTGCTCAATGTTCAAGAGCAGAAGTTATCCACAAGTCCATTCCCTGCGAAGACAAACTTCATTAATATGTAGCTACCATCATTCATCTCCCTTTATTTTCAATGACTGTTTTCTTCTGTGCTTTGCCCTTTCTAACAGTCTTCTTTCTACCTTTCTGCTTTCTTATTTAAAGCTTCTCCTTTTTTTGTGATACTTTCTTCATGCCTCTCATCCTTCCCTATTCATAATTGTCCTTCTCAGGCAAGTAGAAAACTTAGGGTTTGTGTTATTAGTCCTTCATCAGGCAGAGTACAAATCTCTTCTGGCTTTTCCACGCAGACCATTTATTAGCTCTTTGGTTCTATTTTTTCAGATGTGTGAGACAGATAGACTTCATTGCTATTTCTTCACCACAAAGGTAGAAAGTTGCTAATGGAATACAAAAGTAGGAAGATCAATCTAGGATTGACTTTGCAATTGATAGCTTAAAAATAGTTTTCCCCTGGACCTTTGCAATTTCTTACCTATATTTCTTTCCCTTGATGGTGCCTGTCTTTTCTGATACCAGTATGTATATTCCCTTCCAAACCTGAGAGGAAAGGCATCTCTGTAACACTAGTGCTTGCATCATTCATTCTCCTAACTTTTTTCCTTTTCTCTTTATGATAAAAGAAGATTTGGCAAACTCAAGGACGAGAAGTCCGACCCTTTTCATGTTTCTCATAAAGCAAATTCACTGTCTTATCTCTGCTCACCTACTCACTCACTTACTAATCTTCCATGTATTTAACAGCCCTCCTAGTCCACTGATTATGCTACGTTAGCCCAGCAAAAAAGAGGGTTTCAGTATTAGAGTGCTCCCTTCATTTGATCACCGAGAGAATTACACTGTAACGATCCTTTAATTATGGAGCTGCCACGCTGTGTTAAATCCTTTCTATATGTGCTGTCGACTGTTTATGATATTCTGTGTGCCCCAGACTTCACATTTCCAAATACACTACAGTGATAGCTGACAACAGCATTGACAAACATAGTGTACAGTGTATGGTTGTGGAAAAGAAGTGAAAAGGCTTTGAAGAGGGGCTTGGGTTGTGGGAGTAAGCCAATATTACCACAAAAGTTTTAATCGATGTGTATTTTTTTATAAACCAGTTCTGTTTTTCTGTTTTTCCACAGTGGTTATGTCTTTGATTATGATTACTACAGAGATGATTTCTACAATCGGTATGTGTGGGTATATTTTTGTACATCCGACATGATTTCTACTGCTTGTTGACAATGTAATCACATCATTTGGTTAGACAGGTCTGTTCTGATTTTGCATATTATTCATTTCATTATTTCTATTGTGTATCAGAAGATGACTATCTGAATATATCACAAACAGAGAAGATTGCCACTACCAAATGTATGCTCATTAGACAGCTCTTTTGGTCTTAGCCTTCTCGAAGAGCTTTTGGGGCATTTTCTGCGATGAACAGTTTAATGGTAGTTTAATTGCTCAGTGTTTCTTCCTCCAGAGTTCTTCCAGGCTTACTTTCACTGGAACATATAGCAGCTGTAAAATTCTTCAGTATGACACTCATGTCTTTGTCTTTTCATCCATGTGTACGAAAAGATATAAAATGTCCCCTGAAAAATGTGTCTTCAAAGAACGTTTTGGAGACTAGGAAGACTTTCAGGGAAGCAAAACCAGAAACAGAACAGCATGTGTTTCTATAGGAGGAAAAGAAGCGTGGATACCTTAGCAACTGGAAACTTGTGCCTTGAGTACGTACGCACAGCCTAACTCAGCACTGCGGAATTTATTCATTCAGATGTAGCAGAATCACCACAACACAGGGTTAACAGGGTCAACCTACTCAGGATCTAGCAGCGTAGTGTCTTTGCATTAGAGCAGCCTGGTTTAGCATAGGCCAAGTGAGTCAGAGGGGAGCAAAGCACAGATCCACCAACCTCATCTAATCTGAGGTTTCTTTTATGTAAAGCAATGGACAATAGCAGGGGAGCGGTTCTCACCCTGAAGTTACCACGTGCTATATACCTCTCTGCTTAGGACCACTGTAGGAAAAATGTAGAAACAATGGGTTTGGGTTTTGTTTTTTCCTGGGATTGGTTCAATTTGAGCCACTGGTTTTGTTTTTGCATGTAAATCACCATGCTACTTGGACAGAGCTAAAAATAGTGAACTATAAATATATGGAGTAAAACCCAACAATGCAGTTTAATCCTGCTCCATCCAACCTTGACAGTAGGATCAGTTTATGTCCTGTAAAAAGTTAACTTCCACAGGCTCATGTTTACTTTCCCCAAGGTTACTGCTCCGAATTTCATCCGTGGATTTGTATGTTTTTAAACAGAGTACTGTTTCTGATCTATGCCACCTGAATACTAAAGTTATGTGTCATTAGTTTTTTCCCTAATTCTGTGCATTACAGGTAGCACAAACGAACTATAATGGTTACATTTCCACCACAAAAGAAATGCTTATGGGGCATTAAATATTGTCTCTGTGGAACTTGGGTCAAACGGGAGATTGTGACCAACCTGCAGATCATCCAATATAATAAATGATGAGTGACAACAAACAATAACATTTCTCTTAAAAGTCCCAAACATTTTTTAGCCTTGATCTTCATACACAATTGTTTAGTTATGCTCACAATGGCTAGAAACTGCTTATTCAGTAAGAATATTCAAGGCTGTGGAGTTCAAGTTCAGTGTGGGTGACAGGATCTCTGTGACACATTTTGTAGGCAGCTACGGAAAAGGAGGGAGCTGGTTATATTGTCTGTAGGATTACGGTACAGACAACAGTAAGGATCCTGGGATTTAAGCATTAGGTCTAGAAGACTTAAATTTGATCTGCTTCCTGTTCAGCACGCTGTTAGACACTGTGGTGAGTGAATTACTGTTTCTCATGTGTCTGTTTTCAAACATGTATCTATCTGCCCAGCAGGGCGACAGCAGCCAGAATTGTGAAAATTTAAACATGAAGTTATAAATTTTCATAATTACTAGTTGCAAGTATCATTTTAAAGAAACTCAAGAATATTTTGTGAGAATGTTGCTTGCCCCTCTGCTTCAGCCTCTGAACTGGAAATCTTAATTTTCTGAACTTTCTTCTCCTGATCTGTTTAATTCAGAGCCCGTAGCTTTTATGTTCTAAATATATCTGTAGCTTTTAGTACTCTTTTTACTGCCTTTATTTTCTTCTATGCAGGTTAGTTAGCTGCTGTTGATAACTGTGTTTTTAGGTTTGGGGTATTCTGTTCATTTTGGTTGTAGAGTATCTTTTATTGACTGTAGTGATAATTCTCTGAATATCTACTTGCTACAGTGGTTTCGGTTTGAACAAGAGGGTTTTTTATTAAGCATGCTTGGGTATTTAGTGATTCTACATCAGTTCATTCTTCAATAAAGAGAACATATGCTGGGACCTCTTTTCTATGCATTCAGAAGGACATACAGGTGGCTTACCCTAAAGACTCTTGCTATTTTACAAACTGCAAGATATTTCTTTATGGTGACGGTTGGCTTCAGAAAAGTTCGTTTCTTTTTCTGTCTCTAAGGATAGCAGATAGAGAACTAGAATGTAAGTCGTGCATGTAATAAAGGAGCTGAAATGTCACCACAACAAAATGTACTGCTGTTAGCTGTGTGCAATGAAATTATGTGGACCTGTGGAAAGCAGGTTACGGATTTTCCATACTGGAAATAACAGAGTCCCATAACACATCTCTCATTTAAATTACACGAAAAACCTGAGCTGTGCACTGATCTATGACTGAAATCTGAATATGGCACTTAATGTGCATAGGTCCTTGAAATCCAATTTGGCTGTGATATAAAGTGATTACGGTTTCAAAGGGTAATTTCCTCAAAGATAACATGAAAATTTATTTGACAGGGCTTCCATGACATGAAATCACAGAAGGTTTTATGGAGTCCAGCTGACTTAATCTTTTCCAGGTTGTTTGATTACCATGGCCGTGTCCCCCCACCACCCCGTGCAGTCATTCCACTGAAGCGTCCTCGTGTGGCTGTGACAACAACTCGCAGAGGCAAAGGGGTTTTCTCCATGAAAGGAGCATCACGATCCACCTCAAGTGGGGCTTCTTCCTCAGGATCCAAATGTGAGTTGCTCATATCAGCTGGATATTATTGAAGCAATGATCCTAGTAATTTCTGCAAGCAGACAGCTTCCGCTATATAGCTCTGTTGCAGTCATTTCCTACCCTCAGCCTTTAGCTTGGAGAACTGATATGATTACCAAAGCTGCCATGCCTCTCCTGCAAGTCAAAGAGCTGATGTAACTTCTGAAGCAAATCCCTTCAACCACATTTGACCTACCCCCTTGGCCTCAGAAGGAGCCTGTTTAAAATCTCCTATCATCCTGACTGCTTATGTACCATAAGGTCATGTGAACAGCTGATAAAAAAGCAAAGCTAATAATCTTTTTCTAGACAGAGGCACGCTGATTTCTGTTGAGACTGGAGGGTTATATGTGAGCTGGTGCAGGGTGGGCTGGGGGGGACAGGGGTGGCTGGGTTGTGTGTGGGATTTTTGCCAAACTCCTTTGAGGGCAGAAAGAGGCAAAGTGTCTTTGCCTGTTCTAAAGGGAGTCCAAAACAGAATTGGCAACTTGGGTTTATTCAACCCTTCTTTAGTGAGTTGGCCTTAGAAGAGCTGATGAACAATAGGCATTCCCTCCTCCATGCTCACCAAGATCCCCACCCCATAGTATGTCCATGGAACTTCATCTTCCTCTTCGTGCATCTTTCAGCACCCACCTGTCTTCCCCTGCCCCTTATGTGGAGTGATACTGTCCTTGGAAGCGTCACTGGAAGAGGAAGAGAAAGATCAGGTAGGGATCAGATATTAGAAAGAATGAAGGGACTTCAATAAGACATGTGCAGTACCAGACTGGCCAACAAAGCATCATGCTGTCTTACACACAACCATGAAATACGTGAATCCACCAACAGTACATCTTACTGCAAGAGGGGTTAATTATGGCGTCAACATGAGCCAATTATATACTCTGCTTGAATAACATATCCAAGTCTCACACACTAGCATCTAACAAAGGTGGATCTCTAGTGAGCCCACTAGGATCCATTCGAGATCCTATTGTATGAAGCGATGGTATCAGAGACCTTGAAAGAAAACATGTAATAAACATGACTGAAAGAATGGAAATGTGATAAACAGAGCTAAAGATAATGTTGTACACTGAGGAACAAGGACTTCAAGCCATTCCTTGGAAAGGATGACGTTCTGAGAAAGAAAGGCTCTGTTGGCTGTACAGTCGCATCACACACAAGTCTCCAGTGAATGAATCAGCTAGATGTGCATTACCAATAATGGGAGCTTTGATACCTAGCACACAGGAAAACATCTGAATTTAGGTGTCATATTATGGAGCTCACTCACACCCTAAGAGGATGTCTTGGAGTAGCAACACTTCCTTTGTTCTCTGGAGGATAAACATGAGTCTAGATATTTGCATACGCATCTTGAACTAATCCACTTGTCCATAGCTTTTTGTCTTTCCTTGATATTTCAAGTAATGAATTATGATTCCTTATATTAATTTAAAAGAAAGCATACAGCTCAAGATCTTCACTGTAGTAGACTTAGAATTTAAATTATTTTGTTAGTCTTTTCCAGCCCTTGAGTCTTTGGGTTTTCACACAGTGAATGAAAGCTTTAGTAAGTCTATACACTTAAAGATACATTCATTAAATCTCATTTGTTTATCCTTTACTGTTGTCTCATCCATATGAAAAGTTAGTGGTATCAGTGCATTCAATTCACTAATGTCCTAAAGCGTGGTCTAATAAGAACGGGCTTTTTGGACTCACTTTGCTTTGAGCAGACGAATTATTTTCAGACAAGTTTTTTATTATATATTTCTCAATGTCCAGAAAAAGAATAACTCAAAAATTCTTCCAGAGAGCTGAGGACCATAGTATATCGCAATAGATGTCAAGGAAATCTCTCACCTAGAAATCTGGATTTTCATTGTAGTGAATGGGACAGAGCATATTACATTAACATATAGATCGGTTCCTCAGAATAATCACCAAATTTGCTTCATTATTTATTCTGCATTTCTGAAAATGTTTTGTGGTATCATGTCAGGACTTAAGTAATGCATAACATAGATTATACCATTCAACTCTAGAATGAGTACACACAGGCACTTGCTGTAAGACCTCCGAAACACTGTCTGTATAACATGGCAAATGTTGGAGAACCTGAAAATTATTTAATGGAAGTGCCATCAGGAATGTAGAGATCCTAACAGACAGTGTTATGCCCCAGCGATTGTATCCTTCAGCATATTCAGGTTCAGTGATGTGAATTCTAGAAATATCAGTCTTAGAGCTCCAGGTGACAAGATCACCTTTGGGTCCAGCTCTTTAACACTGAAGGGAGAGCTGCAAGATGCGTTACTAAAAATGTGAGCTGACGTTTTGACCCCTGTTGGGTTTCCACCCTCAGTTCTTTACAATAACAATTAGAACACAACTGCAGAGACTATTTATCATGCTGGAATAAACTGCAGAAAATAGTCTTTCTGCATGCAGCACACTTTTAAAAGGAGTCAAACACACAGTATACAGACTTTCATGCTTGATTTCCCCATAAAATTACTTCCCTTTTTGTCAAGTCCAACCAACCCATCATAAAAGTAGAAACATGATTTTGTTGACTTGGACAGGAATGTAATCAGCTTATTGTAAGACATTTATCAGAGAAATAACCGAGCCATTCCCTTAGGGCTTCAAGTTGGAAAATAGTGAATGTGTGGTTTGCGGCTTCTTTTGCCACTTTCTTGGAAAAATTGGTTATACTGAATTGTGGGATGAAGTAATTTAATAGTCTGTTGCCCCTTACTCTGCACTGCTAATTTGAACCCCTTGAACTAATGCACTGTTGATTGTGATTGTAATTTATTGCTAGTTAAACTGAGGATCTCTTCAGTAAGGAGAAACATAGTTTGTGGGAAGGAAGCTATTTTGGGTTTTAATGAAATGCAAGACCATAAAACAGCTTAATCGCAGAATTAACTATGTCAAAATGGTATTGCCCATGCTTGAAAGATTTCACCCCTATAGCAAAAACTTTTATGAGATCACATCCCCTAATAGACTTTACAGATTTAAGTAGATATCTTGTAGGGGTAACTGTTCTCGTAGGTGTTCTCCACGCTCAGACTAGGTCCAGAAAATGAACCCATACATGTAGTATTAAAGGTCAGAACACAGGTGACCCCTCAGAGAAACTACCAGGAACTCACTTCTGAAAACCAGCAATCCGAAGACAGAAGTTTGTTGTGACACGCAGCAAAGATGTTATAAAAACACAATACCAAAAATGCCTTGGTCACTGATGAGTACATCTGCAGAAATAATGCCTGCCAGTGCAGTAAATTCTTGTTCTACCAAAAAGCGTCAAAATGTGTTCTAAGCTTGCTTCCAAAGCACAAAATCTTAGGAGCATTTCATTTCTTTCCTGAATCCATAATTTTTCAAGGATCAGTTGACAATATTTTGTTTTCTTTTTAACTCCAAGGGCTAGAAAAAAATAAATCAACCTTTCCACATTATGAGAAGTAACTCACAAATTGAAACGAGTTGGTGCAGAAACTACATGTAGTTCTTCGTGTTAATGGTATGAAGCAGCAGGTGCAGATTGCTATTTAAAACTGGGAAAAACTCACTTTTTCTGACAATATAAAAACTGAAGCTCTTGGAGTATGCATGTCATTTTACATTTTTCCTCCTGAAAACAGGAGGAAAACATTCATCAAATTTTTTATACCCCGTGTGCTTAAGATTAAGGAGGAGACACTTAAGATGTTACAATATGTACTGAATTATGCCTTTAAATTAATTCATTTTGACTTGTATAGTTTATATTTAGCTTCATCAGCTAACCCATTTTTTAGTGAAATCTAAAGTAATACAATATCATAAAACATTCTATATTAAACATGAAGGGCTTGGATAAAAATACATGACCTTTCTTTCCAAAGAATTCTGAATCATGTATTGTGGAAGAATCAATTTGTAGTTATCTTTCACATATATAAAACGTTTCACAAATATAGCCGTAATTCAACAGTAGCATTTTCACTTCGCAAAATGTGATTCACCTCAATTTTAAGTCCCTTGTTTTGAGCTGGATGCAGTTTTTCTCCTCTGGTGCTAGATGCTTTAATGAAGGATGTATTCTTGAAGGCCCTTGTATTCCTGGCAGAGGCCTGGAAAGGGTCACTGAATCTAATTCCTTACTGTCGCAAGTAGCTGCATCATTTAATCCTTTAAGATCCATCTTAAAGCTAGTTAGGGTTTGTCCGTCTCTGTTTCTTCTAATGTACAGCTTAATTTTTTTCTTTTGCATTTGTTCATGTGCATTTGTTGTGCAACGCTGTCTTAGCTTAAAAGTTTTGTTTCAGTTTACCTTCTTTTGTCTCAGGTAAACAAGCAAAACTTTTCCGTCACACTACAGGCTTTCCATTCTCATGGTCATCTCTGCGGCCCTTCTCCCCACGTCCCTGCTGGAATTCAGTGGTTTAACCTGTACGCGTTATTCCAGATGAGCTCTCACCAGGTGCCTGTACAATGGCATTGTCCTTCCCCGTCTTTAGCACATCATTCGACACATCCTAGCACTGCATTTTCTTTCTCATGGCTGCATTATAGAGATAGCCTATTGTCAACTGGGATTACAGCTACACCCAAGGATAATTCTGTCACTGTCTTTTGCCACTGATGAGCTTTGATGATAAGAGTAGGAGTTCTGCTGTTAGTCAATCAAGTGTAGGATTTTTTTGCAGGGCAATTACATTTCATCTGTTTTCTAATGTAGCATTCCTTAAAATCACCTGACTCCTCCTTCCATTCATCCAAACAGATGATACCTTCTAATTTCATGTCATCAGCAAATTTCACCTGTTTATTTACTTTTTTGCATCAAAGTTAGTGAAGATATTTTGGTGCCAGTGCTTGAGGCGTTTCATTAGTAATTTCTTTCCCTTTCAATATATGCATTTCTGTCACGTGCTGGCCTTTGCTTACCTGCTAATAGGAAAAAAATACCAAAACAGTAAGATACTTTATTTTCCTATTCTACTACTCAAAAGCAGATGAACAGATATTTTGGACACATGCAGCTCTGGTTTCATGTTTATCAACTGCTTTATTTCTTGCCTGAGATCAATTTAAAAAAAAAAAAAAAATCTGTGAAGTTTTAAAGGAGAATTTATATACCCAAAGCAGGATACCCAAAGTACAGTATTTACAGGTTTTATATTTCATCTTTGTCTTAACACTGTGCTTAAAAAGCCTGAAGTTCTTCCCAACTCCATACCACAGAATCACAGATTCAGAGAATCACAGAATGGCTGACCGCTGGGCCACCTGCAGCAAGTTTCCCAGGACTGTGCCCAGACAGCATTTGAGTATCTCCAAGGATGGAGACTCCACAGCCTCTCTGGGCTGCCTGTGCAAGTATTTGACCAACCTCACAGGAAAAAAAAAAAAAAGTGTTTTCTTGTGTTTATATGGAATCTTACATGCTTTAATTTGTGCCAATGGTCTTTGACGTATTAGTGGACACTATTGAGAAGAGTCTGGCTTTGTCTTCTCACTCCCTCATGTACTGAGGAGCCCAGAACTGGACACAGTACTCTGGATGTGGCCTCGCAAGTGCTACGTAAAGGAGTGTGCTGGCTTTGGCTCGGGCAGAGTTAATTTTCTCCACAGTAGCTGGTATGTGACAGCGTTTTTGATTTGTGCTGGTAACTCAGGGATGTCTAAGTTACAGCTGAGCAGAACTCACACAGAGCCAAGACTCTTTCTGCTCCTCACCCCACTCGCAAGGAGTTGGGAGGGGACACAGCCAGGACAGCTGACCCCAGTGACCGAAGGGATACCCCACATGGTGTGACATCATGTTCAGCAATAAACAAGGGGGAAGGTTGGCCGGGGGGCCACTGCTCAGGAACTGGCTGGGCATCAGTCAGTTGGTGGCAACCAATTGTTTACATTTGCATCACTTGTCTTTATTTCTCTATATATGTTATTTTCCTTTTCATTACTACTACTACTACTATTATTATTATTATTATTACTACTACTACTACTATTATTGATGCTGTTGCCCTGTTGTTATTTTTGTTTATTTATTTGTTTATTTTTTATTTAAATTATTAAACTGTTCTTATCTTGACCCATGAGTTTTCTCACTTTTACCCTTCCAGTTCTTTTCCCCCAATCCTGCTGGAGGGGGAACGAGCAAGTAGCTGTGTGGTGCTTACTTGCTAGCTGGGGTTAAACCACAACAAGGGGAAGGATTATCTCCCATATGTGCCTGTTTCCCTACCAAACTTGGAAGTGCAAATGTTTTCTGCTTTGCCTTTTAGACTGGGAACAAATATTATTAGGTCCTTGCAGTGTCACTTGGGACCTCTGACCTTTTAGCCTTGGCAAGCCCATTGTTTGCCAGTCAAGGGAGCCCCCTAACACAACAGCTTGGCCGCACAGGATGTGTTGCCAGCTGGCTTCATAGCAGGTTGCCGCCAACACTTAGCATTCCCTGTTTGACAGATTCACATCATTTTACCCTGGAATCTGCACTGCCTTGCTACCCCAGCATGGACCAGCCACTGCCCTCGAGGAAGCAGTAACCTTCTAAATATACAGAATCTTGATGTTTTGTTACAGATCTGGGGGATTGGACAGTGACCCGTTATTTCTCTAAGAGCATTTTAAGGCCTTGCTCTATAAATATACAGAATAATTCCATCAAATACTATCTAGCATATAAGAGTCTAGCACGAAGGTTACTTTTAAGCTTTGTTCTCTAAGTCCTACCATTCACTCAACATGAGGTCAGAGGTTTCAGCCTATGATAGTGAGATACACAATTTCTCCATATGAGCACATGATTAAACAAGCTCATTACCGCATATAGCAACCTGCTGCCTTGTTATAACTGTAATGCACATGACCCAAACTCCAAGATAAAAACACATCGTTTTCACCTCAGTGAATGTGCTTCAGGTTTGCAGTAAGGCTGATTTTGAAGCAAACACATACTCCTTTACTACCACTGAAGCAGGCAGTATCTTGCCTGCATCTTCATCATCCGATTTTGACTGTGATAAAAAAGTAGCCATGAAACACCATGATGAGATACATGACCAAGAGTCAGTAAATGAGACTGATATGGCAAGATGCAGCCAGGAGACCCTTTGGACAGAAAGGGAACATGTCCTTCTTCATGGTATGGTTTAGTGGTGGACTTGGCAGTGCTAGGTTTATGGTTGGACTTGATGATCTTAAAGGTCTTTTCCAACCTAAACAGTTCAATGTTTCTATGGCAAAACATCCGTTTTCCCAGGCTCACTAAGGGCCCTCCCGTTTGGATACGCACTCCAAAGTCAGTGTGCATCCTCCTTCAGCAACAGTATGGGTGGATGAGTAATACTGCCCAGTGCTCTTCCACTGCCAGCCCCTCACAGGTTAAGGTGATGGTTCATTTCTTCCTACAAGAGTTGTAAGAGTGACAGCTGCATTGCCTAATCTTGACCTTTATAAATGGCTTTATTCTCCCATGCTAGCACAGGGTTCCCACTTTTTCATCTTGGCCTTGTCAACACAATATCCTACCACAGACAGGGCAAGTGGATTTGTTTGGACTAAAACATAAAAACATGTCCTGATAATGCGACAATAATGATGTCATTCCTGAGTGCTGCAGTGCTGTTTCTTCTGAAGCCAAAACACCTCCAAAGCAGTTACTCCTTCTTACATTAGACAATGGGAACACGATAATGAACATAAATTAAGAGTAATGCAATGCTACAGAGATTTGGAAAATTCAGCTCTGAATTTATAGGATTTGCCTCCATGTCACTGGATGTGATCATAAAAAGAAATATTTTCATATTTGTTTATTTTAGATAATATTTCTTTCATAGGTTATCCATAGCTGGAAGAAGTACAAGAAATTAACAGAACTGAAAGCTTTTCAAGCAATAATACTGAACACCTATTGCAATGAAGTTGTTGACTGGAATATAACATTGCATTCCTGGCTGCCCTAGCATTTATGATACCATTCACTCTTGTTGAAAAGCACCTAATGCTACTGCGAGGGATCTTTTTATTATTGTGGCTATTACTACAAAATAGTCCAGAAACATAGCACTGCAAGACTGTGAACTGTCTGTCATATTTCAATCGTTCTTTCACTATAGGCTGTTTTTCAGTAAAAGTTACTTGGATTTACTAAGAATACCCTTGAGACGTTTTGCCTGAAATGCTTATTACAGAGCAATACACCTCACAAAACCTCTTGCCATTAGGGCTTAGAATCCTGTGATTTCCTAGGATTCAGCATTTTAACTAACAGTGTTCGTTTTAAAAGTTAAATCCCTAAAAATACTGACAGAAATGAGAGAGTAGACTTTGTACTACAGAGGAAAGAAAAAAGAACATGTTTTGTTTGTGGGGGGCTGCAATTATAATTTATTTCATGTTTTGCATCTTTGCTTTCTTTCCACAGTGAAATCAGATGAGTTGCAAACAATCAAGAAGGAATTAACCCAAATCAAAACAAAAATTGACTCCTTGCTAGGGAGACTGGAAAAGATTGAAAAGCAGCAAAAAGCTGAAGCAGGTAGGTGAAAGCAATTTGTAGTCAAATGAATTACATTGGAACCTAGTTATCAGTCAAGCAGACAGACCAGAAAGAACGGAAGCCTTCCAGAAATTTTGCTACATAATAGAGGCCTAAAGGTAAATTAACTCTCAGGTAGAACTACTAGGAGGATAAATTAATATTTCTCACAGAGAATGCACCATCATTTCAAGAATTGTCTTCTATGGTGCAGCAGAAAAAGAAAATACTGGATGTTCTGGAAACAAAACAGCACTAAAAAACTGACTGCCAGAATTAAATTAGAGGTTGTTGACCTTATGGATGGTTGTGCTGCCCACTTTAAGAATTATTAGATACTCTGCATCAGGAATTATTGCCTGGATGATAGGCAATGGTCACAAGTTGCAGCAAAGGAAATTCCTTTTCGATATAAGGAAAAGAGATGCAAGTAAGTAGTATAGCAGGTTGCCCAGAGAGACTGTAGCAGCTCCATCCTTGGAGACATTCGAAACTCATTGAGCCAAGGCCCCGTGGACCTGGACCAAACTTTGAGTTTGGCCCTGCTTTGAAGAGGGGTTGGGCTTGGAGAGTTCAGATATCCCTTCCAAACTAAGCCGTTGCATGAAGCTGTGGCGTCTCTATGAAACCAGCCACACCTCTACTTCAGCTTTTCTCTGGTGTGAAATATTTTGTTTTGAGGCAAACCTTGGGAATGACAAAATCCAACACTACTTTTTAATTTAATCCAGATCTTTATTTCTCTTATTGCAGTGCTGATTTTGTTAGCCGAGCAATCTCATGTGGCAGCACTTTAAAGCCATGCTGAGCAGTTATAAGGGATTTATAAGGTTGTATTTTCACCTTGGTATACATAGAAAACAACCTCAACTCTTACCACTCTTTATGGTATTTCCTTGGCTATTTCCTTATCAATCACATGGTATATCTCTGTACAGGAGCTGTGTACTAATGAGCTGATTTTGATGAGAGCCGGTGGGGAAATGGAAGCCTTATCTCATGAAAACTCTCAGTGATCCTTCCCCCCCCCACTCCCCCTCCATTTTCTGATGAAAACTCTTTATGTATTTTGTGTGAAATGTGTGAAAAAAAATTCTGCCTCGGAATCTGCAGCTGCCTGGGCACTCAGATTTGAGCCCCTTGCCTAACTCAAATCAGTTACATGAAGCCAAAAAGACCCAACAGAACACATAAAGAGAGTTCCATCAAGACTACCTAAAGCATGGGTGGGAATTATCACTTCAGCTTCATGAACCTGACATAGGCAAACCAGATATTTAGATCTGGATCCCTCCTGTTCCCAAATGCCTCCCCTATTTCCAGATCTCTTGAGGGTGTATCTCTCTGAACCCAGAATCTTCCTGCTGGCATTCAGAAATAATTCTAATGAACATCTTCCTAGGGCAGAACACTACAGAAATATATTTTGTGGTTAACAAGATAAAAAAAGAAAAATACCTACCAAAACCAGCTCTTTAAAAACCCCCTCCCTTTTATTTACAATCATTTTCTAAGTTGACAGACAAGAACCAATCCCTCAGCTGTTGCAGTTTACCCCACAGTCAGTTGAGTGCTTTTTTTTTGAGTCTAAGGTAAACCATTAGAACAGAGTGTGATTATCTCTTTCAGAAGAACTGTACACAACATGTATTCGTTATGTTCTATTTTGTACTTTACGCAGGTTGGATAAAAGTTGGTCTAATCAGTGAAGATGTAATTGCAAGGCAATCCATTGAATCACTTGTGTACTGAAATGCTCTGAGATGGCGCATCCCTACCTCAAGAAGCTTTTATATAAAACCCATTACTGTGCAAAACAACCTGCATGTCATTGTACTTTGATATCCAATTTTCACTTTTGCTAAAGGACTGTAGTGAACTCATTTAAATAGAAATCAGCTCAAAGAGGAAAATGTTGATTTGTATTGAATCATACTGTTATGCCTTTTGAAGACAAGCAATGAATAATGTCCTCAGAGATTAAAAACTGGTTTCAAATTGTTGATGATTTAAAACATCAGGTGCAGAACCCATCCCCCATATTTCTTGCCTCTCAGCAGAGGGTGTGAGGAGAAAAAGCACCAGTAAACCTGGATCCCCATTCACTTCTGATGAAGAGGGTTACGCAGCCTGGGTGATTAGTCCGCAGATGATTGCTTCCTCAGCTAAAAGATTTTTGTAAGATAAAGCTACATCAGTAGACAAACTATTTCATTTATGGTGTCAGATGTGCGATGATTTTATTCCTTCTCTATGGTTTGGCAATATTATTTCTTACTTTCCTCTGCAAGAAGGTGTGGCCTCACTAAGACTGGGATCAGAGAGAGGATCTCTGTCTCGTTTACACAAAACAAAAATCAAGGCATCATCTTGCCCTTTTGGTTTTTCAATTTTGTGTCACTCTGATGAAGAATATTTAATTTATTAATCTTAAAAGTTACACATCTGGAGGAATGTGATAGGTTAAACAGACAAGCTGGACAAGCTCAGTGCATACATTGGTTACTGTTCTGCAGCTGCATGAAAACTCTCCTTACGTTCTGTCTTTTACTGTCATCGACCCCTGACCACTCCAATAGGGGAGTATACTCAAGAGGATTTACTGTACACAGGGAAACTGCAGGAATAGCTCCTTTGTTTGAAAAAAATCTGAATAAGGAAGCCAGGGTAAGAAGGTGTTCTGATGTGAAAACATTGTTAGAGGAGAATATTTGCCCTGTAATATCAGAGATGGGTGCTGAAAGGTAGGCTTTTAAGTTTAGTTGCTCAGAAGAGCCCAAAAGAGTTACATGCTGAGCTGGTATTTTAGACTTCTCTGAAGAACCAAGCTTATGTTCTCATTCAGAGGAGTAAGTGACCTGATATTTTAGCAGCTGTATCCTAAAAGTTTTCCCATTTAAATGTATTAAATCCATAATTTCAGGAACTCTTTCAGAAAGTCTTGACTAGAGTTCATTCAGTTGTCACTGCCACAGCCGAGTTAATCTCAGAAGTGGCTTCAGGAGGTGGGGCAGGACATAGCAGGCACAGCTGATTCAGTCCACATTTCCTTGTGCGGTAGCACAGGTAAGTAACACAATGACTTACAACTAGCATGGTATGGTACAGAGCTCCTTACCAATAGATGATGAGGCTCCATTGGCTGGATCTTCTGCTAAGATGCGTGACTACAGTACTGCTGAAGCCGTTATCTAAGATGACTTTTTATTCTTTAAGTCCAAGAATCTTTCTGAAGAAATTATGTGACTAAGGGAGGAAAGCTTAATCGTTCTTTGTCTTCAGTAAATGAATTTGAAAATGAGGGACTAGAGACTAACAAAGACTGAGGAGATGAAAGTAAGTTGCAAAATAAATGTGCAGAGGTAGAAGGAAAACAAATGTCTTGGTTTAAGACTATGATACAGAAAAGTACGAGGAGATTTGAATATTCAATAATTTATAGTAAAATAATAACCTATTCATAGAAAAATATAGAGCTTCACAGGCAAACTGCAGATTCATTGGCTGTCCAACAAGGCAGGTGATGCACTACTAGTGTTACAGAACAGTAAATCTTACAAAGAAAGAAATGGGTTTATTCTAGAAATTTGATCATCGATGGGTATTGTCGCCCTCAGACTGAAAAGACATCAGTATTCCAGCTACATGCAACCAAATTCTCTGGCCCGTATCCACTTTGAGCGCATAAAGCTTTTCATCTAAACTGATGTGCATAGGAATAAGACTGATCCCCCCCAACCACTCTTCTGCTTCTGGCCAGTCTGTCTCTGTCATTCCTCCCTCAATCTTCCTCTGGATTTCTGCTGGCTGGATGAAATCCCTCAGCATATCCAGGAATCTCGCAATACTTAATCACAACAATGCAGCTCTCTGTGCCAAGCCACCAGAACAGATCCTCTGGACCTCCACAGAAATGGTCGGACTTCTCACCACTTTGCAGAAATGACAGGAAGCCCATATTTGCGTAATTGGAGGGGGGCATTCTCCAGTTACCTCAGCACATAATACCAACAGGGAGAAACTGTTACTTTACTCCATAAAAAACATGTTCAGTTGTCTAGAAGGATTTGTTGATTATCTGTATCGTTGTTGAGATATATTCACAGCAAATTTATGCAAATCCTTATTCAATTATTGGCAATTAGCAGCCTTCCGCTTCTCAGAGCATAGAGATTTATTTACTTCTCATTGGCTGCTGATAAATAAATATATAGTGACTATGCCAGTTGGATTCCCAAGGCAAAGTCAAGTCCAGAAAATCAAAAAGCTAGATCCACTGGTAAATCCTTCATCCAGTGCATGGGATAGATGAGCATGTTGGTACTATGGTTGATTTATGCATTAATTTTTGAAAACAAGGGGTTGGATCATATTTGCCTGGTAGATACTAACACACCGATTTTTACAAAGTAGCGCACCTGAAGATGGGAAGCTTAGGTTTCTTCCTCAGTGCACTTCTCTCTGCCACCAATAGGGAAGGTTACTGAATCTCTATGGAGTATGTTTTCCTTACAGAAGCTCAAAAGAAACAAATGGAAGATAATGCTGATTTGATTCAAGAGGAATGCATATCAGAGAATGCAGATAACTCTACAGAAGAGCCAATTGAAGGAGGGCCAGATGCAGATGGGGATGGAGAAGATATGACTGATGGGATAGAGGAGGATTTTGATGAGGATGGCAGCAATGAGCTGGTAAGGAATAATCATGCCATGTCTGTCTATACAGTTGCTACAAGTAACCGCAATTGAGAAACGATACGGGTTAACAAAATAAGCTGGCAGCAGCACTGTGATGTCCTGTAACTAGTGCCTAGTCTCACATTCCACATAGACTGTAGTGTCAATTAAGCATAGGGCCCTCTGACAATAAACAAGAAAAATATATTTTACTACACTTGGTGATCTCAGAAAGGAAACTAAATGCACTTTAAATTGGTTTACATTTATTATTTTAGATTTACTGAACTGTAGATGAGAAAGGAAAACATGGTGTGCTTTTTTTTTTTTTAACTGGAGAATTTCAAAATTAAGTAAGATTCTAGAATGCAGAACTGTCTCATTAGTAAATGTGCTCCTCCATAAGCCCCAGTCCCTGTCTTCCACGTGCGTCTTCTGCAGGCTGCATTGGCAGCTACAGATTTTTTTGATGGAAGGATTTTTCCTTAAGAAGTGTTTGGCTAGGAAACATTTGGGTTTTCAGCCTGAGCCTGCACCTTTCATGAAATTTTTTTCTAGAGAAACATTGAAAAGTATTTTGAAAGTCAGATTTATACTTTTTTATTCATTCCTCATAAGAATGGATCAGTCACATTGTTTTAGACTCTATAATGCCCTCCCTCTTTTCCTGGCTTTCATATTCTTCTGCTTTGAGCAGAAATCACTTCTGTTGCTCAGTGTCACTGTCCCCGCTTCCTTTTTAACACACATTTAATCATGTGTGCACTGTCAAAGTCACTCAGTGAAGCCACCAGAAGTCAGTCAGCAACGGGCACAGCTGAACAAACACCAAGTCTGGAGCAACAGATGTGAATAACCAGTGTGTCGTTCTGCTTACTGCAAACACAATTTAAACCTACTGCTAATCTGAGGGTTTGTGTTCCTTTAGCCAGCACAAGGCCCTCTTGAATTTATAAATCCTGAATAGCATCCTGCCCAGGAGAAACTACGGCCACCTGAATCCCCTCATCTTTTAATACACAATGTAGAGCAGATGACATTATCACTTTGTCTCAAAGGAACAGGTTCTCCTGTACAGATATGAGGGACGTCTGGAAGTTTTCATTCTGAATTTGTAGGAAGTTGAAATTTTGTAATGAATAAGTAGTTGTAAATATAATATCCCACCATGGCTAATACCTGATCAACTGAAGGGGTGACAGCAATGAGGGTGACCCCAGTTTTACAAGACTGGTGGGGTTTGCGCTAATTAGGTGTCAGACTCCCTGCTGCAGACAACTACGAGGGGAAGTTAACACACAGTGTATTAGCCCCTGATTGTTCAGTGCTGTCATTTCACCCTGTGGGTATGACATATTTCACATCTATCTACACTATATCATGAAGCACGATGTAGAAGAAAATTTTCATCTAGCAAAGGTCTAAGCAGGAAATTTTCTAAAAAGTGAGCAGCACAGGCAGACTTCATTAGCAGTGAAAGTCTGGAATTGGCAGAGCCACATTTGCACACCACTGCTTCCAAGTTAAAAAGCCTTTCCAAGATTTACGTTGTGGAATTAGTTGAAGTGCAGTGTGTTGCAGACACAGGTCCAAAGACAGCTCAGAGGTCTGAGCGACACATCTAAGGCACAGAAGGGAACCAGTTCCAGTTTCTCTGTGAGTCATTACTGAGCCCCTTGAGAGCTGGGAGGAGGTGGCTTATGCACATGGAGAGTGGCATCCTCTGCCTTGTGGCCCAACACTCATGATGATATCCCCCAAGCCCGACATGGTGGTAGCAAGGAAGAGCACTTCATGCATCGTCCTGGTCAGGTGCAGCCCATGCTGATGTCATGGCAGTGGAGCCAGTCAGCCTCCTGCCTTCCACCTTCCCAAATGATGGGACCCTCTAGCCAAGAAGCGGGCAGTATTGTAGACTTTAAAACTCAGAACCAAGAGGGCCACTGAGGTAAAATCCTTGGGCTTTCATCCTCCCTTGCCACTTTCCTCAATCTTTGGAAGAGGCCACTTCACCTTAGTTTTCCTCCCCACTACGATGGGATGGTAACACTTTCTTTTGCAAAGCCTAAGGAGATCAGTGAATTAGAAACTGCTATGGATAGGATAAAGGATTGCTCTACTTCAGAGAAATCTCAGGCAATTGATGTTTCCCACAGAAAGGCAGTTATAAATTGAACTGTGCATCTTTCCTCTACAGCTTTTACCCAAACACTTGGCAGTATTGGCCAGTATTGTTATAATTTCAAGCTGGTAGTTTATGATGCATACTGTAATTTAGTCTGGTTTTCACTTATACTTACATATATTTATGGAGATAAATGGCCAGTTCCTGTAAGTTTTACTTTCCACTCCAGTCACTGATAACTATATAACTGGAAAGTCAGTAAGAATACTATCAAATATTTAGTAAATACTCCAGTAGGAATACTTGGGATTTCAGTCTGCTTCCACCTGTTCTGTGCCCTGCTATCTGGCATCACCCTCTGTTTCCTGAAAAGTAAAGTAGATAGATGAGCTTGTTATAAAACAGTAAGTCCTAACAGATGTTGTTCTCCTGTTTTATGAAAAATAAGTTATTTAGGAAAAAGAGCTGACTAATCACAAACGTGTCATTTTGGAATGGAGCTGGTTACAACTCATTTGAGGAAAAAAAAAGATTTTTTAAGCATGAAAAGTGTTAAATGTGAAATAATTAGGACCAACTTTCCATGTGTAAAAACATAACCTTGGACTCTAAATAATAAATACCTCTCCAAAGGGCGTTTTTAAATTAAATCTATAATCTTTTCCAAATATAAAGCTAAAGGATTTAGGATGATGATGAAAAAAACCCTTTTCTTTCATCATTAAGAGCAGCAGAGCAAATAGAAAAACATTTGAAATGGACATAGCTAATGTTCTGAAGTCAGTTCAGCACCAAAAATTGGTTGTGAGTCCACTAATCTGAAAATTATTATTAGAGGGAAGAGGAACATGACTGAAATTTAGATCTTAACCTTTTTTGCAGTGCTTCATATTTAGCTGTAAATCTCCTGCCAAGCCATTTGCCAACAACCTAATGCAGGCCTCTTTTTGCTGAACACAATATTGTTATCTCTTTTTTTGTTTCTCGTGACCAGCCCTAAGGCTGTCAGTAAAGGGAAATGTTCAAGAAGGACAGACCCTCTGCCAGAGTCCAGATGCTGCCAGAACAAAGCCTCTGATTCTGTATGTATGGGTCTGCATCTTTGGACTAGAGGACTCAAAAATATATTTCTTTCTCTATTTCTATTTCTAACTTGCAAAGGAAGTGACTATGCAGGATGCATGCTGTGGGTTTAGGTGATAGGATCAGTTCTCTACATTCACACACTGTCTATTTGGAGGAACAGGTTACTGCACGTTACATCAGCTGAGTTATGGCAGCTGTCCTCATGCCTGCTTTCAGCCTAGACCAACTGTAAGGAAATGCGATGTAGTTTAGCCTGCAGTCTGAGTTAAGTCAGGCGTGGATTTAAGGAGGCTTTAGCCTCTTCATTTGCCTGCCTGGTTGCACACACAAAACGACATCACATCCAACAGCTGTACACCTTCTTCATCCACCATTTAGATCAGGATGTTGTTCATCCCGCTGTCACTCTCTGTGGACTAAAGACACACCCACAAACAGTCTTTCTGGCTCAGCTGAAGTGTGAAAAAGTTTTACGCCACAATAACTTGATTGCCTGTCTGAACTCTTAATTCAGGACATGATGCATTTGAAGTACCTGCTGCAGTCATCAAACATGACCTCTCGGGAAAGTTTCTGTTGTACCGTTTGCCCACAAACGTCTCTCAGTAAGTGTCTCCAGTGCTGCAGACACTCCAGCTTGAGGATCATTTAGAACAATACCCAAAGACTTTTGCTGCACTGACATACTGAAGGGTTCTTTAAATGGTGATTTCAGATATATAATCCTGCTATGTACCGATATGTAGCTGACTTCAACTTGCTCAGTGAAGAGTGTCACACTCTTCTCACCCACCTGCTCTTACATGTTGGCCTTCCGCTCCCCCTTGTGCAAGGGCATGCAATAATATATTGTACCTATATATATATAAAAAATAATCACTAACTTGAAATGTAGTTCCTGAGCTTACTCTCCAGCTCATGTCACTTAACTGACCATAAGAGGTAGTTGGAGTGGATGAAAACTTCAGGTCTGTTTCCTCTGCTCCTTTTAGGTCAAAAAACCAAGTAGTTGGTTATCCCAGATTTTACTGGACCCATGAGTCAGGCTTTGTGTCCGCTCCTCGCATTGAACATTTTCTAGTTGTAGTGAATTAAAAAATCTCTGTGTTCCTTCCTGGTGTGAACACATCCACTCCTAGTGCTTTAATCTAAACTGCCCCTCAGCAGTGCTATGAAGAAAGCAACACACCTATGTATGCAGCTTCCCCTCCTGCCTTACAGAAGACAAGCTCCTATGAAGAAAGGTCTTCATGGTTACTAAATTCACCTCACACACAAATCACAAACAGGCCATGAATCATTGGAACACAAGTCATCAGTGATATCGAGCGGTTTTCATGTGCCTGCCACGGCTTTAAATTGTAAGGACCGGTAAGAAAAGCCGATAACCTCCTCTTACTCCTCTGGCTGCACAGTGGAGAGCAGAAAAGTCACCTTTGCAGCACAGTCAAACACACATTTTGACATTTGAGAAGCAGCTTGGCCTCAGCGCCTCTAAACCAAGCCCCTTCTCTTTACTAGGAGTAGGATTAGCAGTGCGTGGTGTGGCTGAGAGCATGCAGGAAAGCATTTCTGAATTGGCATGCATGGTGGTTGCCTTACTCTGCTGATTTAGCGGCTGGACAACCCAGTGCAGGCCCAGAGTATTTCATGTAACTTCTCTGAACTTGTTTCAAATGGCCTTAACTGATCATCAAGGAAGCACTGGCTCAAAGTGGACTATAACTTATCATTGCAATCCTCTTGTAAATAACCAAGGTGGCATGCAATTAATTTGCTGAAAGCCTGAAGTATTGTAGGTTTG